GAAGCCCAGATACGAATCTGAGGCAGATCGACTATGTAATGACAGATACGCCGAAAATGTTCACTGGCGTTTCGGTTATAGGTGAAAGTGTGGTCGCAACTGGCTCCGACCATCGTCTAGTGCGTTCGACGATACTTATAGATCGAAGAAGAGAGAAACGAGTTCTGTACTCACAAAGAGCACTCATACGCTACGCTTTCAATGCCGATTTATTCACTGACTTAGTAGCATTGTCAGACCTGCGGATGGACACTGAGAGAAGCATCGACGCTGACTACGACGAACTAGTAGAAAAAATAGTTCTTGCTGTCAAAGCTTCCAGCACTGCAGCAGAACGCGGCAGAAGACAACGTGTGTCAGCGGAAGCAATCCAGATGATGCAGAAGAGAGCACGTATGAAGGCCGAAGGAAGGGTCCAGAGCGAGGAATATAAGACTCTCAGCAAAACGATAAGGGAGAGGATAAAAGAAGACTATGAGGGATATAGGCAAAAGAAGCTTCGTGAAGCGGCAGAAAAGAGGGCAAGCCTGAAAACAGTGGAAAGAGATGTCCGTCTCAGGCAACAAATTCCCTCTGCTCTCAAGGATAACCTAGGTGTTCGCACGACAAATCGAAAGCGGATGAATGAAATCTGCACGAAGTTCTTTTAACGATTTGTACTCCTCAAAGGTGTTTGTCACAAAAGTCCGCTCAACTGCTGTCAGAGAACCGGTCCCAAAAGTCATGTGGGAAGAAGTCGAGCATGCAGTGAAGGGAATGAAGTCTGGAAAAAGTCCAGGAAGTGACAACATTCGACCTGAACACCTAAAAGCAGGCGGAATAACCCTATTCAAAGCGCTGGCAGAACGTTTCACCAGATATTTCATCGAAAGAAAAGTTCCAGCGGCGTGGAAGAGATCGAAGACGATACTGCTGATGAAGAAAGGAGATCCTGAGAGTCTGAACAACTACAGGCCCATCACGCTTTTGTCACAAATATCCAAAGCCTTCACGAGAATAATCTTGAACCGTATCGTCAAGGACTTAGACATGGCTACGAGTAGAGAACAGGCCGGCTTCCGGAGCGGTTATTCCACGATGGACCATTTACATGTTGTACCCTCGTCATCCGGGCAGTTGATTAGGGCGGTCGTCAACGGGCCGCAGCGCGTGCCAGGAACTATTTGCTTTTTCCAGGCTAATTTAGTCATTTTTTCCAACTTTTCACTGTTTTGGCTACTTTTTCCCAGATTAGCAGCTCCTTATCTTCACAAGGTGGAAAAAATGACTAAATTAGCCTGGAAAAAGCAAATAGTTCCTGGCACGCGACGACCGCCCTAATCAACTGCCCGGATGACGAGTTTAGGTCAGCTTACGGAAAAATGTGGAGAGTTCCAAATTCCCCTCTGCTTGGCATTTGTCGATTACAAGAAAGCCTTTGATTCGGTTGAAGCGAACGCAGTATTCAATGCGTTGAACAGATTTGGAATCAATATGAACTACGTCGACCTCCTGGAAGAGATGAACGACGGCTGCAGTACAGAAATCAAGCTCTTCAACGACCCCTGTCATATAAAGATCTGCAAGGGAGTACGTCAAGGAGACACAATTTCGCCGAAGCTCTTTGCAATAACACTGGAGGCCCTCTTCGGAAGTTTGAATTGGAGCGGCGGCATCGAAATCGACGGCGAAAATCTCACGCATTTGCTTTTTGCGGACGATTGCGTCATTTTTGCACAAGACGCAACAGAGCTTCAGGACAAGCTGGTTCAACTTCAGAATAAATCAAAGGAGATTGGACTCGAGATGAACCTCTCCAAAACGAAATGGATGAGAAACCAGTTCAGTCCTATGACGGAGATTACAGTCGAAGGCGAGAAAATAGAAGAAGTCCAGAATTACGTCTACTTAGGGTACCAGCTCAGCTTTACAGAGGGCGCTGGAGGAGAATTTAGCAGGCGCAGGAAAGCAGCATGGACTAGCTTCAACAAAATCTCAACGACACTGCTAGACGAAAGCCTTGCGATGGAAATAAAAGCGTCACTGTTTCACTCCACAGTTGTACCCGCATTACTGTACGGCGCTGAGTGCTGGTCAACCACAAAGCAGACGAAGAGAAATTCGCGGTCACGCAACGGTCAATGGAACGCAGAATTTGCAAAATATCATTGCGTGATCATATCTCGAACACGGAACTTCGAAGGCGAAGTGGCTTTGTTGATATTGTCCAGGAATTGTATAAAAGGAAACGAGAATGGGCCGGCCATGTGGCGCGTCTGAGAGATAACAGATGGACTTCCCGGCTCACTGATTGGATCCCCTTGGATCGCAAACGACCGCTGGGAAGGCCTAAAACGAGATGGGCCGATCCAATGGTGAAAATGTTCGGCCAACAGTGGAAAAGATGCGCACAAGACCGGAATGAATGGATCAAAGTCGACTTGCGTGGATGGCGTAACACACGAGGACAAGTCGGATACAGGTGATACAGGTGATGTACTAGATATTCCGAGCCACGCATTACACAGAAATCGATTGGAAAAGTCTCAAGTTCTTGAGCAAGGCACATCATCGATGGATTCTCAACAAGTGGTCGTGTTTGGTCGCTCGAGGGAGGGGAGGTCTTATTTGGTCTAGGAGAATTTTTTGTAGTGAATTGTTTTGCACGGACTATAAGGGGAATCGTTATATTGTTGGTTGTGGTTTCCTGATTGTTCCCGTTTTTTTACGTTAACTGAACGCAAGCAGCAACGTCATGTGCTGCTTCCGTTCACTTAAAAGTTAAAGTTCAGCTGCGCTTATGTATGTCTGCTGTCCCGGACACGTGGCTCTCGCGTTGCCTTGTAAAGGAATTAAAACAGAGAATCACCTTTGTGGAATTTTCGCTCCCGAGGCTCCCAAATTCCATTGCATGTCCAATATTTTGCTGAAATCTTGAGCAAGGCAGGGACAGCTGAATGCAGCTATGCCAAGTTAATTGACCTGCAACGTGATCAACCATTGATTACGATTGTGTTCGAGGTTCCGGTTAGCTAAGTTAGTCTTATCGATCTAGTAAACTGTGAAATTTCCGAGCACGGTAGCACATTCGAAAGAGTAGATGAGTTTAGGTCCCTTCATGTTCAACCACAGTAACTACAACGTTGGGGTAACAGGACAGCTGAGGGTGCCCCGCTGCACTCAAAAGAAGTGGAACAGACCTGAACAAAACATGACTTTCGATTCCGTTTATATA